TCAAATGAAAAGAGCCTGAATCATTTTGATCATCACTTTCTTTTCACTTGTCAACTGGTACCTTCACCAGGTATACCTTTAATCCAAGCTCAGGATGGTAAAACTTCACTTTCGGTATGTTTTATTCCATCCTATGATTCTTTCAAATGAAATATAAGATCAGACCTCAATGAAGAGATAAAAAAAGACTATTTTGATTTAAAAATTAACTTTTTCGAATTTTAATTTCCTATTTTATGTATTGGTGTTGTGAATATTTTGAGCATTTCAAGTTTAATAAGTATTAAAAAGAAAAACACTGTGCTGAAATTTGTTATAATTTCTAGTTTTTGAATAATTTCAAATTATTTCAAGGATAATATTTTATTTAACAAATGCAACTTTAGGTAATGAATCAAGCGAATAAATGGAGTAAGATTCCCAAATATGATTCTTTCGCGCAAGAAGCAGTAGAATCAAGATTCAGCCTTGACAATAACTGGGGTAATTGGCCTATTAATTCAAATTTAACATCTAGTGCGCTATTTCCTGACAATTCTGATGACAAATTTCAAAATTGGCAAATCGAACCACCGACAACTGAAGAGACGCTATCAATTAATAAATCTTTAATCACTTCTGCTACTTCTACTAATATCAGTATTGAATCCAACGAAAATCAGAATATTTTAATGAATGTTCTGGAAGGAATGAAATTTTGGCCTGGACTTTTCCCGATATTTTTAAATAAAACAATTCCTGAAATCACTGCAAATATTTTGACAACAACAGCAATAGATGCGAATGTTCAAATGAATTCGACTCCCGAATGGTTCGTATCGATTGATTTCATACAAACATGAAAATCTTGAAAAGCGGGATTTCTAGAGTTAAAAAAAAAAAATGTTGAAAAGAAACAGTAGAAAATTTATCAATTTTAGGAAAAAACCATTGGAATTAGTTCGAATATTTGCTACACAATCACAAACTCTAAAACCAATAACTGATACGGTAGTACACATGGAAATACAATATGGTAATGAAGTACCTTTCGGGAATACAGTAAATCGTTCTGTTCAAATCGGTGACAATATTTCACTGGTAATACGAAGTAAATCACTCAATTCAAGTAAATGCTTTCAATTATAAATCTGAGATCATTTAATAAATTTTTAAAATAATTTTTTGCAATATGCTCGATCAATTCAACGAAATTAATCAATATTAATATTCATTAATACTTTTTTTTTTTAAATAGGACTATTCCTTTTATTTATAGTCATTTAACTATAACATACAAATTTTCAGAAAGTGATATTTATAACTTCTTTGTTCATTCCTGTTACGCCAGTGATAAGGATGGTATCGAAAAACTTATGCTTATTGATCGATTCGGGTACTTTCTTCAAATCTTCAATTTACAGATACCATCATGGCTTAAGGCTTTACGAACGAAAATTTTGGAAGGGCTCTTTTCAGCGTGCACAATGCATTTTTTAGGTGAGGCACAACATGCGCGGAACTGGCCCCACTCTTTACGCCTAAGGTTCATCTACCAGAGCCTAGCGAGCTAGGATAATAACATGAAGTCCTCAGGATACAGATTTTGTTGGCACTTTTCCCTTAGATGAATGACCCTACAGGGTTAAATAAGCACATCTAGTCGGGTTTGAAATTAAAGTTGTCCTTTTCCAAGGATGATTACCGGATGGCTAACGAGTCCATCTCGCTCATGGACATACTTTTTTCTGATCCTTTAGTTACGACTTGTGGTAAACCTACGGAGGCTTATGCCGTCACCGGCATAGTTCGCAATCTTATAATGGCAAACAAGCTTCTCCTCCATGACAAGGAATCCATGTTCAGGTGCTCAGTGCAACCCAAATTAACCGGACAAATGATTCGAATGAAAAACGCAGGACAAACCTATTATTATTTCCGGGTCAACGCCTTCAAATTTCCTGGAGCCGATGATGTTTATTTCACATGTGCCATTGACATGTCTGAAAATGAACATTTTCCGGTACTAATTTTATTTGACAAATATGAGAATAGGTAGATAGGTAGATTCAAATATTATAAATATTTGAAAGATATTCCTAATTGAAAAAAAAGAACTATAAATAAAATAGTTCGAATGAATAAAAAGAATAAAAAACAATTAAACAGTTTAAAGAAAAATGATTCAATTATTTGAATTGAAATGGAAACTTTGATTGTTTCAACCTAAATTAAATTTATTTTATTTTATTTTTTTCTCTTTAATTGAAGTCAAAATCTTTTCTGTATACATTAACATCGATCTTTCTTGATTTTTATTTCTAGGAAAGATGTAGAATAGCACAAAACGAATCTCGTTGGCGACGCAGTTTAAATAACAATATAAACTACATTGAATTATGTACTAACGTGATTGTGTCAAGCAATAAAATAATTTAAAAATTAAAATCTGAACCTAATTCTTTAAATTTTATCTAATTTTAATTTGACTGATTTTGACTTTTATGCTAAATATTACTTTGTGCATTTCAAAGAGAGAAAGATAGGAAAGAGGTATCGAATTTCCAGCAAATCCTTGTTGCAAATGTTTATCAAAAATTGTTATCTTTAATACCTGATTCGTTTCATTGACCATAAATGTTACTCAGGATCCTTATCCATGATATCTGGTCATTTCACTGATCATGAGTGCTATTCGGGATCGTTATCATGTATGTTATCACTTCATTGCATAGATTACCGAATTCAAAGT